CAAAATAAATAAATAAATAAATAAATAAATAAATAAAATAAAAACCAAAAACATATGGGGTCTGACAATTAGGTGCGTGACCCATCTAGAAAAAGTGCTGCATACCTCATTGCAGAATATCGCCACAGTCACCTTCGAAGTCCCCCTCTTTGGCAGCTATGCACCCATGCTAGTGCCCAGTCCACCAGTCAAAGCAATTTTGGAACTCTTTTTCTGAAATGCCTGTTAGAGCCATTGTCATCATTTGTTGAGGTTTGACGATGAAGTCTGCACACTTGTCACCGTGTGCTTACGCTGGCAGCACTGTACAAATCACTGTATCGGAACACCCTCCCTAGTCACCTGATCTGGTCTCAGTGACTTTTTTCTTTACCCGAAGAGAAAGGAAATCCTGAAAGGAAGACATTTGGTGCCATTCAGGACATCAAGGGTCATACGACAACAACTCTGATAGCCATTCCAGAAAAAAGTTCCAAAACTGCTTGATGGGCAGCCTTGGCATGGACGTCAGTGCATGGCTTCCCAAGAGGAGGCCTTCTAAGGTGACCATGGTGATATTCAGCAATGAGGTATGGGACGCTTTTTCCGGGATGGTTCGCGCACCTGATGGTCAGCCCCCGCGTGTAAGAGAAGCTTGTGTTTTCCAAACATCACCTGCTAGAACTTACCCTGCCAGAGTTTCTAGAAGCATTTGCATACTGTTACGATGCTTTGCCATATAGACAAAGCTTTGCCATATAGACAGAGCTTTGGTCTCCCTTTTTTCCACCATATTTTAGGGATTTCTATTGTTAAACTACCACCATATAAATTGTCGGCGGTGAGATAGGGGTGGTAAATAATTCTCTTCACTCGATTTTTTTTGGCTGAGAGAAGAGGGAGGAGGTGGCTCCAGGTAGGTGAAGGTTGACGTGGATACCAAGTCATGCCGCGGCTGTTTTTACTCTAACATGGACTTTTGAGGTCTCTCATGTTGAAAAGCATCATATAAAATACGTGCAATGGTTTGATATGTCCCCCGAAATGTATGTGTTAGAAACTTAGCCCCCGATGCAGCATTGAGAATCGGGACCTTGAAAAATGGTTGGATCACACGAGCGGTTCCTTGAGATTCCCAGATTCACACTGCTTTGGAGAGTCAGTCGCTGTTGCTCATTTTAGGTTGACAAATCTTGACATTTAAGTTTACAAGTGTCAGGGTCAAGAGGCACTGCATCTAGAAGATGGACTTTAGGTCTCACCTATGCCTGGATTCAACTTCTGGAGTCTTCCTTGCAGAGAGGCTGTGTGTATTTTGCTACAGGAAAGGAGCAGATAATCATGGCCAGTTTGTCTCTCTCCTGCAAGAGTGTTCCACCACCCACACCTGCACCTGCGCGTAGTATACACTTGTCTTGGCCCCGTGCTAGCCTTGGCCAATGGAATATGAACGACTTCACCTACACCATAGCCACACAGGTTTTTTTTTTTGAGTCAGTCTCACTCTGTTGCTGAGGTTGGAGAGCAGTGGCACGCTCACGGCTACTGCAGCCTCGACCTGCTGGGCTTAGGCTATCTTCCCGCCTCAGCCTCCCAAGTAGCTGAGGCTACAGGAGTCACCACCACGCCAGCTAATTTTTTTCATTTATTGTAGAGACGAGATCTTGCCATGTGCCTAGGCTGCTCTCAGACCCCCGGGCTCAGGCAATCCTCTTGCCTCGGCCTCCCAAAGTGCTGGGATGACAGGCATGAGCCACCACGCCTGCTCAGCAGGAGTGTTAAATGTGCCTTCATGGTACGGTTTGTCTTGTTCTTGGCCTTCACTACAAAAGCACTGCGTCCCAAGTAGGTCCTATTCTACCAGGCTAGAGCCAGAATAAGCAGGCTTAGGAGCAGAGTCAATCTGAGCAAGCTAAGCTTAGGCGAGCAGGTCTGCAGCTAACCCCATACTGTGGGCAAGAAGCCAACGTCTGTGGGAAGTCACTGAGGTTTGGAGTTGTCGGTTGTTTGTATCAGTCCACTCCCAGGGAACACTCTAGGGTTAGAATAACTCAAGATTTTGTGTATTTACCCTCTTTATTATAGTCTTCCTTTCTATGTCCAGTATGACTTTAAGCTTCTCATGTTGAAGAACTTCAAGACCACATTTCTAATTCCAGCTTATTTTTCTTTTTATTAAAGTGCTTCAGTAGAAGAATGGTACGATCAACAATCAACACAAACTTACTGAAATCATCCACAACTAAAAATTCTCTATAAGTCATTCAAATAATGTTCCTCTGTGTAGTAGCAGTAATCACCCTTGGAGATTGGTTAATCTGCCATTGTTCTTAACCGCACACGTGGATTCTCAGGTTGGAAAGATCCCACCTGGCTGCCTGAGCATCTCGAGTTGGCTATCAGCTCCCAAGAGCTAGTTCCAGCAAGTCCAGGGAGAAGACGATGATCTGAAACTCATCCCGTATCCCTGCTGCTTCCATTTCTCCTCTGCACTGAGCTGAGCACTAACCTTCCCTAGAAGAGGAGAGCTGTAAACAAGGAAGTATGAAACATTACAGCTTAGCAGACTTCTGTGCCACAAATGCATTCATGTGCATATTTTTTAAAGGGCAACTTATTCTTGACACAAATTAAATATTATATGGCTTTAAGAGAAACAGATTAATGACTGTGCTTTCCTTGAAAATTGTCTTTTCACTCAAATTACACTAATATCCTACTACCCTGATTAGTATAATTCACAGAAGACAAGCTCGGCACATAATTTTGATTGCAGTAAGGATTGTTGTCCTTCTTAGGTAAAATTAATACATTCTTTTTTTTTTTTGAGTTGGAGTCTCACTCCTTCGCCCAGGCAGGAGGGCAGTGGCATGCTCCCGGTTACCACAGCCTCGACCTGCTGGGCTCCGGTGATCCTTCGGCCTTAGCTTTCCAAGGAGGCGGAACTACAGGTGTGCACTACCACACCCAGCTAATTTTTTATTTATTTATTGTAGAGACGAGGGCTTGCCAAGTTGCCCGGGCTAGTCTCGAACCTGCGGGCTCAGGCAATCCACTCAGGCCTCCCAAAGTGCTGGGATTATAGGCTGACCCATCGAGCTCAGCCAACAAATTCTTTTAAGAAGTTTCATCCATTACATTCTTACATTCATGACCTTTCCACAAAAACGGAAATCTTGCCACCCTAAAGCATAAAGAGGTCAAATCTAGAGTTTACATATTAGATTTTGGTATCGTTCCTTCGGCTACCATGAGACCGTGGTTGACTGTGGCAAAGCAAAAAAGCACATTTGAACTAGCTCTCCCAGCACAAAGTGACCTGATGCCATCACCAAAAGATTCAGTAGTGTCTGTGCTGGGGGGATGACAGAGTCAAAATGCTTGAGGATGTAGATGATATCTTCGCGGGGACAGAAGAGAAAATGTTCCTGACGAAATTGGAAACTTTTCTAAAAACCTTGTTTCTTTTGGAAAGTGTGAGATTCTGCTGTAAAAGAAAGAATGTAAGACAGCTGGTACCATCAACCCTTATATTTTCAAGACTTCCAGGTAGAAACAGTATTGCTGCATCTCCACATGACACTTTGAAACTGCCAGCAGTAAAAGGAAAAGAAAATCATTAATCAACACTGGAGAAAAAGAAAAATGGTAAGCCGATGCTCATGATGCTCTTCTTTTTTTTTTTTTTTTTTGAGTTGGAGTCTCACTCCATTGCCCAGGCTGAGTGCAGTGGCACATTCACGGCCACCACAGCCTCGACCTGCTGGGCTCCTGTGATCTTTCTGCCTCAGTCTTCCAAGTAGCTGGAACTACAGGCATGTGCTATCATGTCCAGATAACTTTTTTTTTTTTTGAGTTGGAGTATCACTCTGTCACCCAGACTGGAGTGCAGTGGCCACTCCTGCCACTGTAGCCTCGACCTGCTGGGCTCCAGCGATCCTTCTGCCTCAGCCTTCCAAGGAGCTGGAACTACAGGTGCGCGCTACCATGCCTGGCTGATTTTTTGATTTATTGTAGAGATGAGGTCTCGCCAAGTTGCCCAGGCGGGTCTTGAACCCGCGGGCTCAGGCAATCCACTCACCTCAGCCTCCCAAAAGCGCAGGATTACAGGCTGAGCCACTGAGCCCAGCTTACTGCTCTTTTCAATTAGAAAAATAAACTGATCATGAGCATGAATGGACATGCTGCTTCAACAGATAAACCCCCTGGGAATAGCTGGTCATTTAAAAATGAATTGGATGAGAATGTAAAGTTTCTGTTGTGTAAAAGTTCAGTCATTTCAAGACTAAAATCGTTTCAGAAAAGCATGAAACATCCTTTGAGAAGGCTTGATTATTTCATATTGGTTGTGGCTCTTTAAAAATGGCAGCATTTCATGCCTTCTGCAGAGTACATACGGAAAGAATTTTCCCATTGAACATGGATCGTTCAGGAAATAAAGAAAAAAACACGATACAACATGCATTTCTGTAACATGCAGTATTTGGGCACTAGCAGGTGCTCTCATCATCTTGGGGCTGATGGTTGCAGAAAGGGACGAGTGTCTATTTAAAATTTAAAACAGGGACCTCATTTCAAAGTTGATTTTGCTGAACTACCGAGAAGCCCTAGAAATCCAGGGTGTGCAAGAAGAAAACTGTCTCCCAGCGCGTGAATTGTACCCCACCTTCTGTGATGAACGCCACGGGTCAAGCGTCCACGCTCGTGGCCAGCCAGGGCAGCCTGGTTCCAGCCCTGACTACAGCAGGCGGTGGTCCCCGCCAGAGAGCCCATTAGGACTCACCTGCCAGGAGCCTTCTGCCCCCGACTGGGCCCCGCGCAAGCTGAGCATTTTGCTGTGACTCAGGCCCTCAGTCTTATGCCACCCCCAGGCCAAGAGCCCCAGAAGATCCCTGAACTGCGCTGGAAGTCCTTGGGCTGGGCCTGCCTCCCCTGCAGGCAGCCTGGGACTGGAGACAAGTGCGCGTGCGGTGGGTTACCTGGATGGACCCCCTGCCCCCCCGTTGGTGCTTCATGGAGGCTCAGTGGCTCTGAAGCAGCTCCTCCCAGCAGATGGGCTGTGAGAACACCTCCCGCTCCAGCCAGAGCTCATAGGAGTAGTGGAAGTCTTCAGGCAGGTCCAGCTTCTGGCCCAGCACGCTCTGCAGGCAGTTATCCACTGGGGAGAACTCCGAGTCCTGCGGCCTGTCGTACCGGCGGCTGTTGAAGGCCTCGATGTTGGCCCTCAAGGTGCACTCTTCCGCTTGGAAGTCCCATGGCCTGGCATCGATGTCTGTGTTGGGACAGAGGAAGAAAAAGATACAATCACTGAGGCCCCCGCTCCCCGCCACGGAGCGCCTCTGTGGGGCTCCAGCAACAAAACGGCTCAGAATTCCCTTTTTATGTACTAAATATACAGGCAGCATGTTAACACAGTGGCTTAAGAATATAGGCTGGGCGCCCTGGCTCACACCTGCAATCTCAGCACTTTGGGAGACAGCAGCGAGAGGACTGCCTGAGTCCAGGGGTTCGAGACCAGCCTAGGCAACTTGGTGAGACCTCATCTCTACAATAAATCAAAAAAATTATCTGCGCCTTTGGGAAGCTGAGGTGAGTGGACTGTCTGAGCCCGCAGGTTCGAGACCCGCCTGGGCAACTTGGCAAGACCTCATCTCTACAATAAATCAAAAATTAGCCGGGCGTGGTAGTGCGTGCCTGTAGTTCCAGCTACTTGGAAGGCTGAGGCGGAAGGATTGCCGGAGCCCAGCAGGTCAAGGCTGCGGTGGCTGGGAGCAGCCACTGCACTCCAGTCTGGGCGACAGAGTGAGAATCCAACTCAAAAAAACCCACAAAAACCTTGAAGTCAACAATGACAGCCCAAGAAGCTGTGAAAAAAAAAAATTAGTCAGGCATGGTGGTGCACACCTGTAGTTGGAAGGCTGAGGCAGAAGGATTGCCTGAGCCCGGGAGGTCGAGGCTGCAGTGGCTGTGAGCATGCCACTACACTCCAGCCTGGGCATTAGAGTGAGACTACAAGACTATGACTGGGGAAGAAAACAAACACACACACTCATATATATATAAGCTTATATATGCAGAAACTATCTTTGGGTGGTCTATCTTTGATGCAACTTTCCCTAAAGGTTCAGCGTTTCCCATGTGAATGGAATCACCAGCTTTCGAGGAATCAGGAGCACGAGGGACACAACGTGGGGAACCAGAATGGACAGATTCCTGGACTATCCCTATTCCTTGGACACTCCCTCAGCATTCGACACATCTGGGTGTCAGCTTCTTCTGGGTGGAGGCTTCCGTGGAGGTAAAAGCAGAACACGGACCACCTGCTTTGCTGCTGTTCACTTAACCACTTCAGGGCTAGAGATAATTTCCCAGATCACCTGTGTCCTACCTCAATAGTTTATAATAAGGAAGTGTAGTTTGAGCTCACAATGGCAGTAACCACAGATATGCCATCTGTAGGAAAAAACTTTTTTTTTTAGAAGGAGTTTCACTCTGTCGCCCGGGCTGGAGTGCAGTGGTGTGCTCACAGCCAACACAGCCTCGACCTGCTGGGCTCAGGTGATCCTTCTGCCTCAGCCTTCCAAGTAGCTGGAACCACAGGCGTGTGCCACCGTGCCCAGCTAATTTTTTTTTTTTCTGATTTATTGTAGAGATGAGGTCTCACCAAGTAGGCCAGGCTGGTCTTGAACCTGTGGACTCAGGCAATCCTCTCGCCTCCACCTCCCAAAATGCTGGGATTACAGGTGTGAGCCACCACCCAGCTGTACTTTATGACTTCTAGTAGAAGTTGCATCCTGGCTTGTTATGTGCCCATCATTATTTCCCTTAGTTCTCTAAACTCTTTTTTTTGAAGCAAAAACACAGCCCCCCACTACCACAAATTATGCAGCTGAGTTTCCCACATTTGGGGAAATTACGGTAGTCAGCACTTCCAGAATGCAATGGACAAGGCTTGGCCTGGAATAATCACCCTCGTGGTCATGGCACCCTGTGGCCAGACAGGTAAGGATGGTTCTCTAAAGCCTTTACTGCAGCATCCTCTAAATTTCAAGCTGGTTACAAATCCAGCAAAGACAAGTCATGAGTCACCTTACTAAAACTCTCTAATAAGATTATGGGAATAATGGTCAAATCCCACTGTGTAGCAAATGCAATACAATGAAAAAGCTCTCCAAAACAAATTTTTCCAAACTCTGGTCAATCTTAGAATAAATTCTGGTAGGTACCATGCCTGCTGCTGTGAGGTAATATGCAGTTCCCAGCATCGCCTGGGATGTACTACAGCCAGAAAGGTTTAAAACGAATTCATCAAACTTTCAGATCTAACTTTAAGTTCACAGGCAATATCATAAGGTAAATTACGCCACACACAAATCCAGAAGGCGGGTATTCTGTAGGACAACTGGCCTAGTTCTTCAAGTCATTAGTATTATAGGGAAAAAAAGACTACAAGATTCAAAATGAATTAATGTACATAACAACTAGATGCAATTTGTGATCCCGGATTGGATTCTGACTTGGAAAATATAGCTATAAAGAACATTTTGGTAGATAATGAAAATGTGGTCTATATATACTATGGAATACTGTTCAGCCATGAAAAGGAATGAAAGAAAATGTCTTTTGCGGCCACTTGGATGGAACTGGAGACCATCACCCTAAATGAAGTAATGCAGGAACAGAAAATCAAATGCCACGTTCTCACTTATAAATGGGAGCTAAACTAAGGAACTGAAAAGGCACAGAGAATGGATAACAGATACTGGAGACTCAGGAAAAGGAGAGGGGTGGGGAGAAAAAAATCACCTGTCAAATACAGTGTACTCAGGTGGGGTGGAGGGTACATGTGAAACCCAGACTTCTTTGCTGCTATACAGTGCAGCCAGGTAACCAAAAGTCATTTGAACCCCCTAAAGTCATTAAAATAAAAATTTTTTTAAATTTTAAAAAGAAAAAAATTGTAAAAAGAACATTTTGGGACAACTGAAGAATTCTGAATATGAACTTTATTAAATGAAAATGTACTGACATGGATAAGTAGCGATAATGTCAACTGAGAAAATAAAATTATAAAATAGCATCTATAATTTGCTTTCATTGTAATAAAGTATTTATTATTATGTATAGACAAAAATCTGGATGAATGTACAATAAAATGTTAACGGCAATCTCTGGATGGTGCAAATATGGCATAAATATGATACTACAGTAAAATGTTTGCTTGTTTGTATTTTCTATTTTTTCTAACTGCTTTGTAATAATAAAAAGCTATTTTAAGTTAAAAAATATTTTGAAGCCGGGCTCGGTGGCTCAGCCTGCAATCCTGTGCTTTGGGAGGCTGAGGTGAGTGGATTGCCTGAGCCCGCAGGTTGGAGACCCACCTGAGCCACTTGGCGAGACCTCATCTCTGCAATAAATCAAAAACTAGCCGAGCGTGGTAGCGCGCGCCTGTAGTTCCAGCTACTTGGAAGGCTGAGGCGGAAGGATCGCTGGAGCCCAGCAGGTCGAGGCTGCGGTGGCCGGGAGCGGCCACTGCACTCCAGTCTGGGCGACAGAGTGAGACTCCAACACACACACACACACACAATTTTGAAAGCTGTCATTTAAAATAATGTTTTGTTCTGTTCCACTGATGTTCTCAGGAAAAAATGTTTTGGAAGGGTCATTCTCCATTGTTTTATAAGATGAATTTTCATTGTTTCCATAGGACAGGCTACGTATTAGAATTTGGGGTGCTGCCTCAAAGTTGGATGTATCAGTTCCTGACCTATAATCACTATTTCTTACCTAAAACATGGAATAATTCATGCCAAGAGAGCAGAGATCAGCACCCCACTCACGGCCGGAAGTCCAGCGTCCCAGACACTCGCGGCCGGAAGTCCAGCGTCCCAGACACTCGCGGCCGGAAGTCCAGCACCCCAGACACTCACCGTTCCCGTAGGCCCAGTCGTCGTTCATGCGGTGACGCACTTTCTGGTAAATGGCCGACATGGTCTTCATGTTGCTTTTCCTCCACTGGCGCCCCAGGTACTTGGTCTGTATCTTCAGCAGCTTCAGGACGTAAAGCTGCAGCATGGCCTGTTTGACCTTGAGGGCCCGCTTTAAGATGGGAGCCGATTTAAATACCACCAGCATCTGCCCATGGAGAGAGGGGTGGGGTACAGGAGGCAGGAAAGGTCTCGGGCTTCCGGAATTTTCAGTTCACAGACAAACCTAGCTGGCCTCGAAACCCCTGAGGCTTTTGGGACTCCATGGTGCAGGCTCAACTTTGGTTCAGTCTCCAAAAATATGGAGGGAACTAGTCTACTCATATTTCAAGATTCAAAGATTCTGATATCCAGACGCTTGGGGCAAAGTGGAAAGACAGTCTTGGCAGCCACATGTCTCATTTCCACTGTTACCAGTTTCTTGTGTATCATCTAGAGATTCTTCTGTATGTGTATATATTACTTTTGGTTTTTTAACACAAATGATGGCCGACCATGCTGCTCCATCCCTTCTTTTTTATTGACAGTGTATCCTGATAATTATTCCATATGTATGTAGAACTGCCTCATTCCTTTGATGGTTGCATAATGTTTACCATAAGAACATATCATCATTTATTCAACAAGGTGGTCCTGCATTAATGTGCTGCTGTGTTGTTGCTAGTCTTTATTACAAACAACACTGCAAGGAGTGATCTCGGATTGCATCACCTGGGATGTGTGACTGTGATCTACAAGGCACTGCTCACTTCCCTGCTAAGCTGCCTCTGGGAGGGCCTATACTGAGCTCCCCAAAAATAAATGGGCTGAGGGAGAACACAACATCAGTAAGGGTACCTGATTTCAAACCAGGTAAAGTGGGGACCGAAGGGAGACCCAAACTTTACCTGTACGGTGTGTCCAGGTATACCTAATGCTGAATTGTACCCGATAGCTTTAAAGTAAAAAATATATATATATAAAAGAAGAGGCCAGGCTTGGTGGCTCAGCCTGTAATCCCAGCACTTTGGGAGGCCAAGGCCAGTGGATTGCCTGAGCCCATAGGTTTGAGACCAGCCCAGCAACTTGGCGAGACCTCGTCTCTACAATAAAAAAAAAAAAATTAGTCGGGTACAGTAGTGCACGCCTCTAGTTCTGGCTACTTGGAAGGCTGAGGTGGAAGGATCACCAGAGCCCAGCAGGTTGATGCTGGGGTGGCTGTGAGAGTGCCACTGTACTTCAGCCTAGGCGACAGAGTGAGGCTCCAACTCAAAAAAAAAAAAAAAAAAAAGAAAAGAAAAGAAATGGGCTGGCATGTAATCATCTAATACAGAACGAGCTCCCAGATGAGGAGACAGTGAATCTTAAGTACTGTACAGTGTCTGTACAGCTCACACAGCACAGTCCACAAACGCCTCCTTGGTATTTTAAAATGTCAGTCAGGTGGACATCTCCATGACCCGAAGCCCCACTTACCATGGTTCTGGAATGCTTCCATTTGGTCAGTTTGTTGAGCAGCCTCAGGAGGTTGATGCAGGAAAAGAGGTTCCTCCAGCAGAACTGGTGGTTGTCACCAGCTTCCTGTATGGGGAACATCCACCATTACTGCCACACCACAGAAGCCTGGCAGGCATGTGGGTCAGTTCAGGGGAGGCCTTCTGGCCTGGAGTGCTACCTCTTCCCCTTCCTGCTCTTCACACACTGAGCTCTCAGACCCTCTCAGCTGCCAGTCCTGGGAGACTCTTTACTGAGAACAAGTGTTTAAAAGATGATACGTGAACACTGGAACTGGATGCAAGCAAGCTTTTCCATACTGCTTATTGCTTTATAATCAGAAGAGAGATGATAGAATTTTACCCCTGTATACAGGTACCTTGCACTTATTTAGCCATGTTTATAATTTCTAGGAGTTAGGCCTCATTCTAGTAGATTTTAAACTATGGTGGATGGCTCCAATATTTATTACGGTTGAATTTTAAAAAATCAACACCCACTATCCTTTATCAAATTCTGTTACAAGCAGATGCTTAATTCTTCAGCATGGAAGAAAAATGGCAGATGGTTTATTCTAACCAGGTGTTTTTCTTATATATTTCTTGAAAGCTTGTGAGCACCTAACCACAGATAACAGATGGTTGTCAGAGCAGAAACAGGTATCTACTCATAGAAACACTTTTCAGGGATAAAAATAAGAATCCTTATGTGATTTTTGGGGCCTGCAACTACACAGTTGTGTCAGAAGCTGTACAAATCAATGAGCATACATGAGAGCCAAGTGACATCTTAGAGATCCTCACGTCTGTAGTGGTGGGAGAGTGCAGGAGTGGAGCACATGGGGATGTGAGCTTCCGTCTGGTGAACGGAAATCAGCTCCTCCTCCCCAAAACAATTTGAAGTAAGACAGGTGCATATCTAGGGTGGAATAAACATCTGGGATTTTTGAGGACACGAGGCTTTCCTGATACCTAATACCAAGGGCCAAATAGTTTCAGGGAAACTTTTTATTTAGAATTATTTAGAAATAAAATCCTTCTTTCTGTAGTAAGTGTTCAGTATTATAGTTAGACTTTCCCCTCTGTTTCCTGTAAAGAGGTTGAACCAGCTGATCTTGAGGATTGCTTCAGCTCTGACCATTCCCTGATTTTGTGATTTACTCGATTTTCTCCAGTTGAAAGAAACTGCCTCGTTCTTTTTAATGGTCACATAATAGTCTAAAGCTATACCATCATTTATTTTACCAGTTGGGTAATGGGCATTTAGGTTGTTTCCGGTCTTTCATTATTACAAACAATGCTGCAATGAAAAGCCTCTGATTGAGTCATCTGGGAGGTGTGACTGTGCCGTAAATAACACTGCTCCCACCCCACCAGAGCTGCTCTAAGGGAGGGTTCTTATTTAGCTCCCTGAAAAGAAATGGGATGGGGAGTAATCGAGTGAAGTTTTAAAGGTGAAATCCTGTTTGTTTGTTTGTTTTTTTGAGTCAGACAATGGACTCAGATGGGCCCAGGAGGAATGAAGTGTTTCCTCCTTCTGGACAGAGGAAGTCAGGTTGACTAGAGTCTGGGCACTAGAGGGGGCTTGGCTGTTCTAGTTCAATTCTGTCAGCCACAGAAGCAAAGACTGAAGCCCGGAGAAGGGTTGAGGCTGTCCAGGGTCGCATGGAGCGCCCACTTCCTGAATGGAGGCCCATCTTGGTTTAGTGTCCGCGTTCTACCCGTCCTGCAGGAATCCAAGACATGGAAGGTGGCTCTCAAGAGAATGGGGCTTGGGCTCTGCCTTTGGAGATCCTTGGGGACCTAATGGTAGAGAAACCCTTTCTTAAGTAATTCTTTCTACTGTAATTCTTGCTTCAAACCAGAAGAGATCAGTTTACAGGAAAAACAACAATAACAAAACAGGATTTCTGCCTTAACGTGGAGCTCAGTCCCCTGAATAGCTGGGACTACAGGCATATGCCTCCACATCTAATCAGTCAGCCTCTGATTAGACTGAGCCTTTGAAGGAATGCTGAGTGTGAGATCCAGCACCATGTCTCCAGCCACCTCGACAGCCCACTGAGTCCCTACGTGACAAACCAGCTCTGCACTGAGACATCAAAAGTATTAATATCAGCCAGGCATGGTAGCTCACGCCTGTAATTCTAGCACTTTGGGAGGCCAAGGCAAGAGGACTGCCTGAACCCAGGGGTTTGCAACCAGCCCAGGCAACTTGGCAAGACGCGTCTCTACAATAAATTTAAAAATTAGCTGGGCGTGATGGTGCATGCTTGTAGTTCCAGCTATTTGGAAGACTGAGGCGGAAGGATCACCTGAGCCCAGTGGGTCGAGGCTGTGGTGGCCATGAGCATGCTGCTGCACTCCAGCCTGGACAACAGAGTGAGACTCCGACTCAAAAAAAATTATTAACATTAACTTGGTTGTTTTATAATGAATCTAAGAGAATTTTATAGCCCAAGGAAAGTTGAATGCTCATCTAATGGCCTAGCCTCTCTTTCTTACTTTTTTTTTTGAGTTGGAGTCTCACTCTGTTGCCCAGACTGGAGTGCAGTGGCACGCTCCCGGTCACCGCAGCCTCAACCTGTTGGGCTCCAGCAATCCTTCCGCTTCAGCCTTCCATGTAGCTGGAACTACAGGTGCACACTACCACGCCCGGCTAATTTTTTTGATTTATTGTAGAGATGAGGTCTTGCCAAGTTGCCTGGGTGGGTCTCGAACCCGCAGGCTCAGGCAATCCACTTGCCTCGGCCTCCCAAAGTGCTGGGATTACAGGCTGAGCCACTGAGCCAGGCCTCTCTTACTTTTATAGATGGTGTTTCCTGGCCTCAGGAAGGCTGCCAAGCTGTGGTTGTTGTCTTTTCTATGTTAGTCTGTTTTTTTGCTTTGTGCTTTGGTCTTCCACACCACATCAGTCCTGCATTTATCTGAAACTTTTCCAGAAACATCTGCTAGGTCTTCAATGTTCACTTATGAAAAACTCACAGCAATAGCTCGCTCTTTTGGTCCACTTCTTGAGTATGATTCACATAACGGAAACAAAGTCCTATTTTTATTTTAGATTTTCTTCTCCCACATGATTATAGAATAATCGAATCCTCTTATCACACAGGTTTCTGAGAAGACCCCGCTCGATGATCATAGGGAGAGCAACAGTTCTCAGTGAAATGAGGAGTCAGGAGGATGGCGTGAAGGACATTTCAAGGCTGTTTGGAGAACTCCAGCCAACAGCATGTCTGAACAGTCACCCCGAGACTCTGGTCTCCTCAAGAACCCATCACAGAAGCAGTGACCAACAGGACAGTGGACACAGTGCTAAAAGGAGTTCATCCATCTGTATCAACTCCTCATGGAAAATGGATCTCTACCTGTGTATTCACGTCATAGCTCCCGAATACATGGGTGTTTCCTTATAAATTGTATGTGCATTGTTGTAATAACAACGCACATTTATTATCATAAATATGAAGAGTAAAAAATTAATACATATAAAAGAACAAATATTTTCCATCCCCCAGAGCATGGTCTTGCATGTCTCACGTTTCAGACCGCAGCTCTAAACAGACACTGAGCACTCTAGATGTGTGCAGAGACCACAGCCACTGTCTTCTCTGGCAATCTCCTTCCAAAGACCATACTTGATTTCCATGTTATTACATTCACACGTTAACCATCCTTCACAAAGTGTTTTTTTGTTGTTTTTGGTTATTTTTTGTTTCTGAGACAAAGTTTTACTCTGTCTTCCAGGCTGGAGTACAGTAGTATAGTCATGGCTCACTGCAGCCTCAGCCTCCTGGGCTTGAGTGATCTCCCTGCCTCAGTCCCCTGAGTAACTGGGACTACAGGCATATGCCTCCACATCTAGCTAAGTTTTTTTTTTTTTTTTGAGTTGGAGTCTCACTCTGTCACCCAGACTGGAGAGCAGTGGCCGCTCCCGGCCACCGCAGCCTCGACCCGCTGGGCTCTGGCGATCCTTCCGCCTCAGCCTTCCAAGTAGCCGGAATTACAGGTGCGCGCTACCACGCCCGGCTAATTTTTGATTTTATTGTAGAGATGAGGTCTCGCCTGCCCAAGCGGGTCTCGAACCCGCGGGCTCAGGCAATCCATCTACCTCAGCCTCCCAAAGGCGCGGGATTACAGGCTGAGCCATCGAGACCGGCTTCTAGCTAAGTTTTAAAAGATGGGATCTTACTAAGTTGTCCAGGCTGCTTTCAAACTCCTGGCCTCTAGTGGTCCCCTGCCTTGGCCTTCCAAATTGCTGAGATTACAGGCATAAGTGCCCACACCCAGCCCATCCTTCATTTAAGTTTGGAATTTTTTTTTTTGAGTTAGAGTCTCACTCTGTCTTCCAGGGTGGAGTTCAGTGGCATGCTCGTGGCCACCGTAGCCTCGACCTGCTGGGCTCAGGCAATTCTTCCGCCTCAGACTTCCAAATAGGTACATGCCACTGCACCCGGCTAATTTTTTGATTTATTGTAGAGACGAGGTCTCACCAAGTTGTCCAGGCTGGTCGCAAACCCATGGGCTCAGGCAGTCTTCTCACCTCAGCCTCCCAAAGTGCTGGGATTATAGGTGTGAGCCACCGCACCTGGCCCAAGTTTGGAACTTAATTTTTTTCTAGCTTAGTGGATTAAATTTGAATATAGAAAGCTTTTTAGCCTTCTCAGACCAGGTGGGTGGCGAAACTGCTCAGTACATGGGTGAGAACAGCCTATCCAAAGCAAGTCATTTTGACAAACTAGGAAGACTTCAGAAATGAGCATGCCATCCACTTGAATTTTATTTTGTGTTCATTCTGCTGTGCAGCTACAGTTCCACATGAAGCTGAATTGAATTCGGTTCAAATTCCAGAAACTGAAAAAATATGAATCAAGACCACATCACAGTAGTAATTCTACTCCTAGGAATCGATTTTAAGGAAATCAGAGGTGCGGTCCAAGACTCATGTGAAGGATGCTCCTTTTGGACTTATATAAGGACAAATAAATAGGTGTCCAACAATAGTAGAAAATAATTACTTTTAAAAGATGAGGTAGCGGAATATAATGTGTGGCTATTAAAAATTATGTCCTCAAGGATGCTTAATAAAATCATATTGTGAGCAACTTGGATGGACTTAGAGTCTATAATGCTCAGGGATCTATCACAGAAGCAAAGATCTGACATGTTCTCACTCATAAGTGGACCTTGAACAATTACCATAATAATTAAGAAAGGGAACACCCGGGGGGGGGGCACCTCATCAACAAAGGTACCTGCATAATGATTATTTGTATATCTGACCCTGAATTGTACTCTACAGTTTAAAACTAAATTCAAAAAAATCATATTGTGAACATTTAAACTTCACTATCAAGTGAAACAAATATATAAAGTCTTAATTTTGTCAATGTTTTTTATATAGGTGAGTGAATACATATATAATAATTGCAGCAAAATACTAATAGCAGGCTGGGCATGATGGCTTACGTCTATATCCCAGCACTTTGGGACACCAAGACGGGAGGATCAGTTGAGGCCTGGAGCTCAAGACCAGCCTGGGCAACATAGTGAAACTCCATCTCTACAAAAGATTTTTAAAAAAACTAGCCAGGCACAGTGGTTCACACGTGGAGTAACAGTTACGTGGGTTACGTGGGAGGCTGAAGTGGGAGGATCGCTTGAGCCAAAGAGTTCGAGGCTGCAGTGAGCTAGGATCGTGTAATTCCATGCTAGCCTTGGCAACGGAGTGAGACCCTGTCTCTGTCTCTCTCTTTTTTTTTTTTAGTTGGAGTCTCACTCTGTCACCCAGGCTGGAATGCAGTGGCACACTCATGGCCACCCCAGCGTTGACCTGCTGGGTTCAGGCAATACCTCTGCCTCAGCCTTCCAAGTAGCCAGAACTACAGGTACACGCTACCACACCTGGCTAATTTTTTGATTTTTATTGTAGAGACGAGGTATCATCATGTTGTCCAGGCTGGTCGTGAACCTGTGGGGACCCTGTCTCTTTAAAAAATATATGTGTGTGTGTGTGTGTGTGTGTGTGTGTGTGTGTGTGTGTGTGTGTGTGTGTGTGTATGTGTGTATACAACTATATACATATAAACTGGTTATATGTAAGTAGTATTTTTATTTCCTTCTCCATAATTTTCTGTAATTTTCTGCAATATATAGGTTATTGATTTTATAATCAGAAAATAAACTTGAAATGTTATTTAAAGAAAATCCTATAAACTTAAACAGCCATTACATTTTTTTGTGCTTGCAATTTGTTGAACCTGAAAAATAAATACATCCTACTCGTATAAACATTTGTCTTTTTCTGGGTACAGAAGTCACCAGTTTTGATAAACAAACCATGAATATACTGAGAACCTATGTGGAGTAAACTTAATAGTTACTGAAGTCCATGATTGGGCTCAGGGAAGCACTGAAGTTCAAGAAAACCAACAAAAAAGTCTGTGGTTACTAAATTATACCACTAGGTGCCGCTATTGCTCCACAGAAAGGAGTAAACACCTGGCATGACCTCTTTTTGCCTCCAGTGTACTGGAGTGGTATACTTAGATTTTTTTAAATTTAAGAATAGATACGCTTTCACTCTTGGATAATAATATAGTCTTCTTAGAAAGCATGATCATCATTTCAATATTTTAATGCTCATATCCCAGAAGCCAAGTGGCAGAGTTGTGAAAGTATGGTTTCAAAAGTAACGTTTTCTGTCAATTCCTGTGGGGTTCAGTGGGGTTGGAATTGAGAATAGAGAACACATTATATATCAAGAAACAGATTCAGCCGGGCTCGGTGGCTCAGCCTGTAATCCCGCGCCTTGGGAGGCTGAGATGAGTGGATTGCTTGAGCCTGTGGGTTTGAGACCCCACCTGGGCAACTTGGTGAGACCTCATCTCTGCAATTAAAAAAAAAAAAATGAACCGGGCGTGGTAGCACGCGCCTGTAGTTCCAGCTACTTGAAAGGCTGAGGCGGAAGGATTGCCAGAGCCCAGCAAGTGGAAGCTGCGGTGGCCGGGAGCAGCCACTGCACTCCAGTCTGGGCCACAGAGTGAGACTCCAACTCAAAAAAAAAAGAAACAGGCCGGGCTCGGTGGCTCAGCCTGTAATCCCGCGCCTTTGGGAGGCTGAGGTGAGTGGATGGCCTGAGCCCGTGGGTTTGAGACCCGCCTGGGCAGCGAGACCTTATCTCTACAATAAATCAAATAATCAGCCAGGCGTGGTAGCGCACGCCTGTAATTCCGGTTACTCGGAAAGCCGAGGCAGAAGGATCGCCGGAGCCCAGCAGGTCGAAGCTGCGGTGGCCGGGAATGGCCACTGCACTCCAGTCTGGGTGACAAAGTGAGACTCCAACTCGAAAAAAAAAAAGAAACAGATTCAGGCCATAAAAGTTGACTTTATATTGTGAAATACCCTACTAATAGACGTTGAATGCTTTTGTGCACTCCTGTTTCTGTGGAAAATGTATTTTTTAACTCTGAATGGCAGGGATGCCTGTCTCTTTTCTGACTGCGACTTTGAACTGTAAGGTCTTGGCATTTATGTAACTTCTCCATCAATAAAATAGAAATACATATGTCATAAAGTAGTTTTAAAGATTGAATAAAAAGACATAGAGAGAGAATTTATTACTTCTCTGTAGGAGTAAAAAGCTTCTAACTTCTTTGGCTGCTGAGATCACATCTAAATAAGACAGGGAATCTCTCTGTCCCAGGCAAAATGGGGTGTTAGTCCAGGCATGGTGTCTCACACCTGTAATCCCAGCCATTTGGGCGGTGGAGGTGAAAGGACTACTCAAGCCCAAGGTTCAAGAACAACCTTGGGCAACTTGGCAAGACCTTGTCTCTATAATAAATTTAAAAAATAGCTGGGTGTGGTGGCATATACCTGTGGTTCCAGCTACTTGGGAGTCTAAGGCAAAAGGATAGCCTGAGTCCAGCAGGTCGAGGCTGCAGTGGCCATGACTGTACCACTGCACTCCATCCTGGGCAAGAGAGTGAGATGCTGACTCAAAAAAAATAAAGGGGGGGTTTAGATTTGGTGTTTCAGGACATTGGCCTTTTGATCCATGTCTAATTCAGGGTCTGTCACATGAGGATGGGCCATGACAAGTCACTCCACTCACTAGACCCTCAGGCTTCTCATCTTTGAAATAAGGGGCCGGGTCAAGTGGCTCTTCAGTCCCCTCCAGCTGAGAATCCTGCGGTTCTATAAAACCTGTATCACAGAAGGTATCCTTCAATTTTTGCATAATATGCTTTTCTGACAACAATGTGCAGAAATTACAGTTGGGGACAAAGGGTTGTAGTACCTCTGGGTACCATCATTCAATCATGTGGCATTTATTGAGCTCTTCAGTGATCAGACATTGTGTTAGACTCTGGGGATATAAACATGATGAAACTATAACTTCCTTCAAGAAGTTTACAGGCTGGGTGCAGTGGCTCATGCCTGTAATCCCAACAATTTGGGAGGCTGAGGCAAGAGGATTGCTTGAGCCCTGGAGTTTGAGACCAGCCTGGGCAACACAGCAAGACCTCGCCTCTACAAAAAACAAACAAACAAACAACAACAACAAAAAAAGCATAGCTGGGCATGGTGGTGTGTGCCTGTAGTCCTGGCTGCTCAGGAGGCTGAAACAGAAGGATCACCTGACCCCAGGAGGTTGAGGCTGAGTGAGAAGTGATTGTGCCACTGCGCTCCAGCCTGGATGACAGAGTGAGATGCTGACCGAAAAAAAGCGCACAAATTGAGAAGCAGATATAAATAAATATGACAGCGCAGCGGGTTGAAGGTGTAGGCTGTGCATCTAAAGAGGTATGGTGATACATGGTGAGGTGGATGCCGTGTCCTTAACATGCTGGCGGTCAGTGGCTTTGTGGAATTCTGGGTAACGCTGAGTGATTTTAAGATTTACCTAGAGCTGTTTCAAGATGAGAAACTTTCTAGCCTTTTCTTCTGTGGCTACATTGACTTTTGCCTCAGAGAGACTTAGACTAGGTATTTTCTGACATACGCACTCCTGGGTTTTAGAACCTGTATTAAAATAAGAAGCGAACTGTCTGCAGCAATAGAAAGAAGAAAGATGACTGCTGATGCTAGCCCAGAAGAGGTTCTCCTGCCATTTAGCATAGATATTCACCTCACATTCACCCCTTATCACTCTACACTCCCTCTCCTCAGTGTTTTCAATGGCCCTCTCTGCAAAGCACCACATTCAGCTTTTCTGAGTCTTTCTCCCCTGGGTCAGGAGCTCGAAACCCCTCCTGCCTCCACGCTCTTGCCAGTATGCCTTCACTTATCTGACACTCCCAAACCAGGGTATGAAGGGGCTGGAGGAGAAATGGAGAACAAATGCCAACCTCTGCCCCCTGGCAGTTTCCAATGCCACCACGTCCCCTCTGCTTACCAGGCTCTCGGTGGTAAGCTCCGGCAACTCCTGGATGGCACAGCAAGGATAGTCCAGGACCGAGATGCTGCAAGGCGCAGAGATGAGGACAGGCTTTAGGTGAATGGCAACAGCGGGAGGTGGCTGTGTCTGGGAAGGGCAGGAGTTATTCCTTTGTGGTAGGCCCCAGCCACCTCTCAAATCACTGAGCGACCTCAGCCGGGATCGAGGGCTCTGGTGCCGGGTGACTATGGCTCTGGTCTCTTTCCCTCAAGTTGTGAGAGGGCCAAAGAATCCTCCAGGCTGGCCCCAGTTTGGCAGATGCAAAAGAGAGTCTCCCTTTCTAATTTACTTATTTATTTTTAGCTCTCCTTGCTTCTTGAAAGGCGTATGTGAAGAGCCGGGCCAGTGGCTCATGCCTGTCATCCCAGCACTTTGGGAGGCCAAAGCGGGAATATTGCCTGAGCCCAGGGTTTTGGGTCCAGTCTGGGCAACATGGCGAGATCAAAAAATTAGCTGGGCGTGGTGGCATGTGCCTGTAGTCCCAGCTACTTGGGAGGGTGAGGCAGGAGGATCGCCTGAGCCCAGCAGGTTGAGGCTGCAGTGGCCATGAGTGTGCTACTGCACTCCAGCCTGGGTGACAAAGTGAGACTCTGACTCAAAAAAAAAGAAGCCTATGTGAAGTTGAGTGCATTTGTGTTTCTGTGTTTAAGGTATGCGTGAAGATAATTGTGCCCAGAGATGCTGCCCAAACCCACCCACTGCATAACAAGCTGAGGACATGGGAATAGAGTGGAGACTCCCCTGCATCTCTCTCCAGGTCCGTCTGAGAGCTGGGAGTCCTGGGGAGGGATCACAAGAGCCACTCCTAAGGGAAGGGTGGGCCAGGGCCGGCCTCTTGCAGAAGGAGGCCCAGGGGTGCAGGGGATCCAGGGGCGTAGGTGTGAGTGGAGGGGGGGAGGCGCCGTGTGATGGCAGGGACCCGGCTATACAGCAAATGACAGTCCTTTCACATCTCCCTTCTTCATTGGTTGATACAAAATCTGGACTAGCTAATCTCTAATGCCTCTTTGGTTCCAACACTCCATGAGGTTTTGAACACCAGCCCATCTGAACAAGTGCAGGGGAAATGGGTGAAGGATGTTGGCAAAGCAGGGGCTGTGAGGCCGAGTACGGCAGTCTTTGGACCCGTGTCTACATTTTATTTATTATTTTTTTAGAAACAGGGTCTTGCTGTATTGTCCAGGCTGGTCTCGAACTCTTGGCCTCAAGCGACCCTCCCACCTCAGCCTCTCAGAGTGCTGGGATTATAGGCGTGAGCCACTGCATCTGGTCTGTCTCTACATTTTAAAAGTCAAAACTTCCAGACAAATAAAGGGCAATAATTTATTTGCCTAGAAATTTTGCCTTTGTCCAGGAAGCCAGACGAAGATAACCTGGGGACCAGGGTAGGAGGAAGGGGTCAGCTTGGGAGACAGCAGTGTGTCTACTGAACGCTGTTCATCGTCTTGGTCCATTCTCGTGGACTCTCCCAGGGCTCTAGTTGTGTGCTGCCCGACTGGGTGAACATCCACCTGCCTATCTACCTCCCGTGACAAAGCTCCAGGGCCAAGGGGTGCTGGTGACCAGGAAATGGGCCGGGAAATCAGCAGTGGATTTTTTCCAACCTCCCAGAGAACTGAATTCTAGTCTCAGGGGGCATAAAAGACATACACACGTATTTAGAGCGTCTAGATTGTGCTAGCCTTGAGGAAGCCATGTGATAACAAGCTGTGAGTGTTCCAAATTCTCAGGGGTCATTCGAAAGCAGAACTCATCGGTAGCCATGAGGGCTGTCTTAGTCAGGCCAGCCTTTGCAAAAGATGTGGATGCCGCCACGCTTCCAATGCCACACGAAACCCAACAACCCTCCCAGTCCAGGCCCCTGGGTGCAGAGGGGCATGTTGCTTCCAGATTCCACGGCTCCAGCCCCGCTGATTGCCCCAGGGATGGCCCTCCAACCCTGGGAGTCTGAAATATGCTCAGGCGAGCGAGACATGTCACACTAGCTCACACAGTCATATTCCACCAAGTGGCCTGAGAAGCTGAAAGCTGGCAGACGTGTCTGGGAGCGAGAACGTGCATGGGGAGGCAGAGGTCTGGGGTCCACACACGGAGGTGAGAGGCATCCTGGGCTCCCACACACAGGCCAGCTGGGGCCAGAGCCGTCTGGCCACCCCAGGGTCCTCGAGACGGTGTGCCTCGTTTCCCTCCAGCAAACTCCTCAGCCAAGCCAGCTGGTCAGGGTCACTCTAACCACATGTTGACAGATAAACACAGGGGCCTGCATGTGCGGTGGCTCCAACACAGTCCGACCCACGTTTTGTTTTCAGACAGCATGTCTGAAGAGCCATTTTGAGGGGTCAGTACATAGGGCTCCACAAAGTTAGGAAAAACCCTCTCTCCAATCCTCCCCCAAAGGGAAGATGTTTAAAGCACTGACATGTACTTAACTAATGCTCATAAAAGTTCTGTGATATAGTCAGAGCAGATATTCTCATTGTCAAGATGAAAGTATGGTGGCTCAGAGGAGCAAAGCGAGCAAATGGCAGATCCAGGTCATAAATCCAGGTCTCCTGCCTCAGGTCCCACGGGTGTGTGTATTTTAAACTGCACACTGTCCAAGCAGTCTGCCTCGCCAGTGGAATTTCAGGCCATGTGACACAAGGGCACACAGCCTCTCCCAGTTGCTCCCTCCCTGGTCACCACAAATAGGAGATTGGCCCTCTCCCTTCTACTTTAGGAACTCTGCCTCTGGTCAGTTTTACTGAGTCACTGGCTTCCAGTTCTTGTGAAAGCGCTAACTAGGAAACCTGGATCTAGCCTGCAGTCCCCAAGTCCCTGCTCGGCTGGCAGAGTGGAAGCTGTCTTTTCACAGAGAAGCCTGTGCTCTGACCTCGCCTCTGATGCTTACTTGAGGGGTCTGGCTAGCGTGTTAATTTCGAGCAAGAAAATTAACCTCTTTGAATTTGTTTCCTAATTGGTAAAACAAGAATAAAACTCACAATAACTCTCAGCCTGCTGAGGAGATTAAATGAAATAATGAACACAAAAATACTTTATTTTTTTAAACTACAAATTGATCTACCTTAAGAGTCTACTTAGTCTTTTTGTGTATTGTTTTTTGAGTCCAGGCCTCACTCTGAGTCTCACTGTGGCCCAGGCTGGAGTGCAATGGGAGGATGAGGCTCATGGAAGCCTCTGCCTCCTAGGCTCAGGTGATCCTTCTGCCTCAGTCTCTCAAGTAGCTGGGACTACAGGTGTGTGTCACAACACCCGGCTGATTTTTTTTGTAGAGATGAGGTCTTGCTATGTTGCCCAGGCTGGTCCCAAACTTTCAGACTCAAATGATCCTCCCACCTCGGCCTCCCAAAGTGCTGGGGTTACAGGTATGAACCACTACACCTGGCCTAAGACTCTTAGTCTTTTTCTTTTTGAGTTGGAGTCTCACTCTGTTGCCCATGCTGGAATGCAGTGGCATGCTCATGGCTACTGCAGCCTCGACCTGCTGGGTTCAGGTGATCCTTTTGCCTCAGTCTTCCAAGTAGCTGGAACTATAGGTATGCGCCACCATGCCCAGCTAATTTTTTTGATTTATTATAGAGATAAGGTTTCACCAAGTTGCCTAGGCTGGTCTTGAACCCCGGGGCTCAGGCAATCCTCTTGCCTCAGCCTCCCAAAGTGCTAGGATTATAGGCTAAGCCACCATGCCTGGCCTTCAAAACTATAAAATACACATTAGCTCTGTGAAGAGGCCAAACCGTATACCCACCGGCTAACACGTCAATGAAATTAAATCGAACAGTGACAGCACTAAGACAGGAGGTACCAAGGACATCAAGAGAACTGAAAGGCTCCAAGACCATCCACAAACAGTTCCCTGAAATAAGCCTGCCCGGAGTCCATACCTGTTTTTGGCGGTGATATATGACAAGATATTTTGATTGAAGAACTTCAGGATCAAGGGGATGCAGTTGGCAAACACCAGATGCTGTGATACATATTCAAACTAAAGGAAAAGACCAGAGTAGAAAGGGCTGCTAATCGGAGAATAGAAAGTAGGTATGAAAACAAGAGGCAGAAGTACAAATCTAACACCCATTCCCGAGACTCGTCACTGTCCGCTGTGCCACCAGCCTTCATGTCTGGGAAATGGGGAGAATCGTCTTCAGTCAGCCTATCCTCCATGGAAGGGACACTCTGCAGTTACATTATAAGCTCCTGACCAAAGCACAAAACAAACAAGCCTGAAAGAAAATCCCCCTAATAGACAGAATTAAAGTGAGGTTCATTCCTAAGCCCAACAAGAAGGGAAGACTCCCTGAGGGAGTCATTTTCCACACCCAACCTCTGGCTCTTAACGCTTCAACTGTGATTGGTACAGCAGGGTCAGGTGCAGCTCATGCCTGGCAACTGTGGGCATCACTGGGTCAGGATAGGGATGGCACACATTAGCCAGATGAATCACTGGGTGCAGGCGCCAGTCCCAGTGTGTTTAGTCTATGCTATTATCCCCGGCACTTGGGCCACCTGTAAGTATTTTAATGAATGAAGGAACAAGAGCCCTCCAGCCAACAGATGCTGCACTGAGAAGTCCAAGATGTCTGACGGGCTACACACTGGAAGGTGGGTCACCATCACTCTCTCTTGGACTGGGATGAGACTTGTGTACAGGAAGGCCTGGTGGGGCAGGGGGCCCTAAGAGCAGTATCATGGGGTCCACTTGAGGAGTACCAACATGGTTCGTCTCCAGATCCAGAAGCCAGTATGCCTGGACAGTACAGAAAGGGGATGGGGAAAGCAGAGAACAGCAGTGTCTTCACCCCCTAGCTCTTCCTGATCACCAAGAAGTGAGTAGTTGAGGCAGCAAGCTAAGCTGCCCTCCACCCGTGTATGTGGTTAGAGGTAGGAGGCAGCTCGAACCAAGTCTACTTCCCTCTTCCTCTCAGTCTTTTCTCCCTGGACACTGACCCAGGGTATTTTCCAAAGGCCCAGATGGAAAAGACAACACATACCTACTATCCACTAATGAGAAACTGCTTTCAGTTTGAGATGTACCAGTGGCGCTGTCAGGATTCACAGACCCTGACACACACTGGCAAGGCCCACCAAGCCCTGCACCAGTCTGGCTGTCCATCCACATGTTGCCCACCAAGAGAGACAAAAGTAAACACATATCCACACTTCTCTGTTTTCTTCCACCAAAAACACTGTCTCCTCTTCACCCTGCTCCTCCCAGCCCCGCTGCTGCTCACCAAATGCTGGCCGAAATGTGTGCACCCAGGACATCCTAACACGCCCAAAGATGTCTTTGAATGTACTAAAGTAGACAAATACCCTGGTTGATAAAGTCATGGACTCAGTCCCTGCAGGAGTCTCCTTGTACTCTAAAGATCTGTTCTTCCTCTTTTCTTTTTTGAATCATAGTCTCACTCTGTCACCCAGGCTGGAGTGCAGTGGCACAATCATGGCTATCACAGTCTCAACCTCCCAGGCTCAGGTGATCCTTCCACCTCAGCCAATGGGACTACAGGTGTACCCATCATGTCCAGCTAATTTTTTGATTTTTTTTTTTTTTTAGCGACGAGTCTAGCCAAGTTGCCTAGGCTGGTCTCAAACTCCTGGGCTCCTCCCCACCTCAACCTCCCAAAGTGCTGGGATTACAGGTGTGAGTCACTACACCCAGCCAGGACCCGTTCTTCTACCAGCAAACTTGAGTCTGACTTCTTAGTAAGAAGTGGGGTGGAGCCTCTGGGAAGGGTGAGAAGCTTCCCCCTCTCCCCATGGCTGCCATCCCCCATGGACAGGAAGCTTCCATCTGCTGCCCTCGTCTCTATATTGTGGCAGTGCCCACAGAATCAAATCCAAACTCCTTAGCATGGCAAACGGTGCTTTCATGGAGAAACAGGTTCTTAACCTCTATTAGCCTTGGTTTCCTCATCTGTGAAATAGGCATTAAAACAGAACTACTCAGTGGGTGGAGAGAATTAAACGAGGTGCCACACAAGCTCTGTCAGGGCACTGCTCTCTGCCAGTCCCTCTGGTTTCAGGTATCATCATGCCCATCTCTTTCCACCCAGACAGGACTCGAGTGTCATTTAATTAGCTTCCACAGGCACTCAGCTCTCTCCTTTCTGAACTTTGCATACAAGCTCTTCTGCTTGAAATATTCCCTGTCCTTCCCTGCTGACTCCACAAACTAGTTAACATCTGTTTCTTTCTTTCTTTCTTTTTTTTTTTTTTATGAGGCTGAGTCTTACTCTGTAGCCCAGGCTGGAGTGCAGTGGCACACTTATGGCCACAGCAGCCTCTACCTGCTGGGCTTAGGTGATGCTTGCACCTCAACCCTCCAAGTAGCTGAAACTACAGGAGTGCACACCACGCCCAGCTTATTTTTTGATTTGTTGTAGAGACAAGGTCTTGCCAGGTTGCCCAGGCTGGACTCAAATCCCTGGGCTCAGGCAATCCTCTCGCCTTGGCCCCCCAAAGTGTTGGGATTACAGGTGTTAGCCACTGTGCCTGGATTACATCTGTTTCTTTTCTTTTCTTTTTTTTGAGTTGGAGTCTCACTCTGTTACCCAGGCTGGAGGGTACTGGCACAGTCCTGGCCACTGCAGCCTCGACCTGCTGGGCTCAGGTAATCCTTCTGCTTCAGCCTTCCAGGTAGCTGGAACTACAGGCACACGCCACCATACCTAGCTTGTTTTTGATTTATTGTAGAGATGAGGTCTTGCCAAGTTGCCCAGGCTGGTCTCGAACCCGAGGGCTCAGGCAGTCCTCTCACCTCAGCCTCCCAAAGTGCTGGGATTATAGGTGTGAGCCACCATGCCTATCCTACATCTCTTTCTTTAGGACTGGGGTCAGAGCCACCTCTTCTCCACCTCGAGTTGGAGTGGGTGTTTCCATAGCAGCCAGTGCTCACTTGGATCTCAGCACCTCTCTCTAAGTGGCTGTTGACACATCTGTATCCTTCATAAGACTTTGAGGCCCTTAAGAGCCAGAACTGTGTGCTATTCAGAATTAGATCTCAAACGCCAGAAAAGTCTTCCATATACAGAAAAGTGTGGTCACATCCCCCTCGCTTTTTGTGAAATGTTGAAGTTCTGTCTTGCATTGTTTCCAGGTGAGCGGGATATTCTCAGGAAGCTAGAACTTCCCAGCCACAACCCTGGGATCCCCTGCACAGGCCACAGACACATTTCCAAGACCGTCCCCACATGCTACACCTTCTGTCTCCCCTGGCATGTGGATTCCCTGAGTGAGGACAGGGAAGAGGTGGAACCCCACAGGCCCCGCCTCCCTCCTTTGAGAGACAGTTCCCCGGGGAATACCGACTACTGAGGATACGCTCCTGGCCGCCCACCTGGTACACGTGGTTGAGTTTGAAGTGTTTGAGGAGCAGCAGGAGCAGGGCGGCAATGCTCTTCACGATGATCTCCTTGTGCCTGTTCACGTCGATGCCCAGCTTCATGCTCTGGAGGACAGTGATGCTACAGTGGGGAGAGGAGGCGTTGGTGTGGAGGGCGGCCTGGGAGGCCACGAGGACCCAGGCATCGGGTGTGATATAGTCTATGCAAGAGCCAGGGCCTGGAAAGTGGACCTTCTGTGCCTGGGAAGCCTCCGCAGTGCCGTGTGAGCCCAATGGGAGGGCTCCACTGGTTTCTTGCTTCCGATTCTCTCAGGGTCAGTACCCCCCTTGGCAATGTCCACCCATATACGTGGGTACCTGGCCATTGCAACGGGTGCCACCCTCAGGTCCTCAGCTCTGAGCTAAAAAAAGAGCAGAGCAAAGAGCCCTGCAAGGGAAAGGGGTTGCTGATGGGGAAGGGGAGATCTTTGGAGACAGTCCCTAGAAGTGTTAGCAGGACGGGCAGGAATAAGAGAGACCCCGCAGAGAAGACAGCAGGGACCCAGCAGTGCCCACCAAAGCACTCACGGCATCTCCTCAGGCAGGACGTCAGCCAGGATGTTGATGGAGTCTGTCTTAGCCTTGGAGGTGGGGGCTGCCGCCAGCAGGATCTTAAGCAGAGCAATCTGGGAAGGAGAAAATGAGGAAATCCACCCCTGGTCACCCCTCAGCAGCTCTAGGGAAAATGTTTTATACCTTTCACTAAGTTCTTTTCTCTGTGACCCAATCTCCCCAGCATCCAGAAGGGTAAACGGTGCCCAGTCCTGGGAGGTCTGCCTGTGAGGCGAAGGAGGAAGCCAAATGGAGCTCATAAGCTGTTCTGTTTCAAGACTGCTCTTTCCAAACCGGGCTCGGTGGCTCAGCCTGTAATCCTGCGCCTTTGGGAGGCTGAGGTGAGTGGATTGTCTGAGCCTGCGGGTTCGAGACCCACCTGGGCAGCGAGA